CTAGCCACAGGGGAGGCCCAAGGGGGGTGCACCATCCCACTAGGGGCTGGTTCTCCTCCCACTTCAGCCCATGGGGCCCTCCGGGATAGGTGGCCCCACCTGGTGGACCCCCGGGACCCTTCCGGTGGTCCCGGTACAATACCGATTACCCCCGAAACTTTCCCGATGGCCGAAACTTGACGTCCTATATATAAATCTTCACCTCCATAACATTCCAGAACTCCTCGTGACTTCTGGGATCTCATCCGGGACTCCAAACAACTTTCGGGTTACCATATACTAATATCTCAACAACCCTAGCGTCACCGAACCTTAAGTGTGAAGACCCTACGGGTTTGGGAGACACGCAGACATGACCGAGACAACTCTCCAGTCAATAACCAACAGTGGGATCTGGATACCCATGTTGGCTCCCACATGCTCCTCGATGATATCATCGGATGAACCACGATGTCGAGGATTCAATCAATCCCGTACACAATTCCCTTTGTCAATCGGTACGTTACTTGCCCGAGACTCGATCGTCGGTATCCCAATACCTCGTTCAATCTCGTTACCGACAAGTCACTTTACTCGTACCGTAATGCATGATCCGGTGATCAACCACTTGATAACATTGAGCTCATTATGATGATGCATTACCGAGTGGGCCCAGAGATACCTCTCCGTCATACGGAGTGACAAATCCCAGTCTCGATTCGTGCCAACCCAACAGACACTTTCGGAGATACCCGTAGTGTACCTTTATATTCACATAGTTACGTTGTGACGTTTGGCAGACCCAAAGCACTCCTACGGTATCCGGGAGTTGCACAATCTCATGGTCTAAGGAAATGATACTTGACATTCGGAAAAGCTGTAGCAAACGAACTACACGATCTTTAAGCTATGCTTAGAATTGGGTCTTGTCCATCGCATCATTCTCCTAATGATGTGATCCCGTTATCAATGACATCCAATGTCCATAGTCAGGAAACCATGACTATCTTTTGATCAACGAGCTAGTCAACTAGAGGCTCACTAGGGACGTGTTGTGGTATATGTATTCACACATGTATTACGATTTCCGGATAACACAATTATAGCATGAACAATAGACAATTATCATGAACAAAGAAATATAATAATAACCATTTTATTATTGCCTCTAGGGCATATTTCCAACAAGTAACACCCAAAGAGTACTAAGGTGTGATCATGTTTTGCTTGTGAGAGAGGTTTAGTCAACGGGTCTACCACATTCAGATCCGTATGTATTTTGCAAATTTCTATGTGTACAATGCTCTGCACGGAGCTACTATAGCTAAATGCTCCCACTTTCAATATGTACTAGATTGAGACTCAGAGTCATCCAGATCGATGTAAAAGCATGCATCGACGTAACTCTTTACGATGAACTCTTTATCACCTCCATAACCGAGAAATATCTCCTTAGTCCTCTAAGAATAATTTTGACTGTTGTCCAGTGATCTACTCCTCGATCCCTATTGTACTCCCTTGCCAAACTCATGGCAAGGTAAACAATAGGTATGGTATACATCATAGAATAATTTATAGAACCTATGGCTGAGGCATAGGGAATGACTTTCATTCTCTTTCTATTTTCTACCTTGGTCGGGTTTTGAGTCTTACTCACCTTCGCACATTTGTAGCACAGGCAAGAACTCCTTTTTTGACTGTTCCATTTTGAACTACTTCCAAATCTTGTCAAGGTATGAACTCATTGAAAAATATTATCAAGCGTTTTGATCTATCTCTATAGATCTTGATGCCCAATATGTAAGCAGGTTCACCGAGGTATTTTATTGGAAAAATTCTTATTCAAGTATCCTTTTATGCTATCCAGAAATTCTATATCATTTCTGATCAACAATATGTCATCCACATATAATTTCAGAAATGCTACAGAGCTCCCACTCACTTTCTTCTAAATACAGACTTCACCATAAGTCTGTATAAAACCATATGCTTTGATCACCTTATCAAAGCGTATATTCCAAATCTGAGATGCTTGCACCAGTCCATAGATGGATCGCTGGAGTTTGTGCACTTTGTTAGCACCTTTAGGATCGACAAAACCTTTTGGTTGCATCATATATAACTCTTCTTTGAGAAATCCATTAAGGAATGCAGTTTTGACATCCATTTGCTAGATTTCATAAAATGTGGCAATTGCTAGCATGATTCGGACAGACTTAAGCATCACTACGAGTGAGAAAATCTCATCGTAGTCAACACCTTGAACTTGTCGTAAACCTTTTACGACAAGTCAAGCTTTGTAGATAGTAACACTACCATCAGCGTGCGTCTTCCTCTTAAAGATTCATTTATTCTCAATGGCTTACCGATCATCGAGAAGTCCACCAAAGTCCACACTTTGTTCTTATATATGGATCATATCTCAGATTTTCATGGCCTCAAGCCATTTATCGGAATCTGGGCTCATCATCGCTTCCTCGTAGTTAGTAGGTTCGTCATGGTCTAGTAACATGACTTCCAGGACAGGATTACCTTACCACTCTGGTGCGGAACGTGCTCTGGTTGACCTATGAGGTTCGGTAGTAACTTGATCTGAAGTTTCATGATCATTATCACTAGCTTCCTCTCTAGTTGGTGTAGGCATCACGGGAACAGTTTTCTGTCATGAGCTACTTTCCAATTCGAGAGAAGGTAGAATTACCTCGTCAAGTTCTACTTTCCTCCCACTCACTTCTTTTGAGAGAAACTCCTTCTCTAGAAAGGATCCATTCTTAGTAACAAAGATCTTGCCTTCGGATCTGTGATATAAGGTGTACCCAACAGTTTCTTTTGGGCATCCTATGAATACGCACTTCTCTGATTTGGGTTTGAGCTTATCAGACTGAAGCTTTTTCACATAAGCATCGCAACCCGAAACTTTAAGAAACGACAGCTTAGGTTTCTTGCTAAACCACAGTTCATACGGTGTCGTCACTACAAGAAATATGTCAACTTGCGACCATCACTATTGGTCACTGAAAGGTCATTGTTTTTCATTTGCGAACTTTTTGTGATCAAAAACAGAAAGCCAAAAGCTGGCGGTCGTAAACTGAAATTAACGACCTTTTCTATGAGAAGGTCGTAGAATTCCACAACCAAAACAAAAGGTCGTTGATTCCATGACCTTCTGTTTTGGTTGCTAGCTCTCTGCCCAAGCCACGTCAGATCCGACGTGGCAAAATTGTGACCAATTGAAAGGGTCAAAAATTAGAATCAGCCCGGTCCAATTGGGTGTTTATATGTGCCAAGCCCATTAATTCAACCTTTTTACATATTTTTCTGTAAATTTTGGCTAGCTACATGGGCCTGGCCCATGTAATTCAGCCTTTTTATTTGAAGGCCTCGTCTATTTCGCAGTCCATTTCATTCAGCCTTTTTGTATCATAATTGCATCATTGCACAATATTCCACGCACTATTGTTTGGGCCATTGCCTTTTTAGTGCCCAAATATTATTCAGTACAATAGAACATTCAATCTTTTTCAATCACAGATTTCAATTTTACACATTTCAACATCAAACAATAAATAATTTTCTCAATTAAATGATCAAATCCAGAAATCACTAAATGAAACTCAAACAGCACGTACACGACTACACGGTCCATCAAGTGTATATACAATCAAATACATAGGCACCAAAACATGGTGGCAACATCAACTAAAACTATGATGCACATCTCCAGGATGATCTTTGGTCACAACAGCTGCCACCTCGACAACATAAGATCCTGATCTATATAAATTATTTACTTAAAGATTCTTCTCCTGGAGTTCCTTGTACACCAACTTTTGACGAGTGAAAGCCAAAATCTGCGGATTATAAATTAGAAAAGTTAGGGAACATAATTAAGTGTAGCCCTGCATATAACATTCTCCTAACAATGAAACATAGCTGCAGAATTTGAGATCTAATAAGAAACCATGCATATAACATTCTCATAACAACAAAACTGAGATATATTTGGAAAGGGCAAATGACAAGTATCAATCTGCTGCTAGATAACAGAGCAATCATGTCAAAATTATTCAGATATCCTCATATGTGTGTCACATTATGCATGCATCAAGCTTCAGGCCATCAATTTTAGGATGAGTAGATACCTAACTTCATGTCGATGATATGGATGGGGCTACAGTAGAACATCTGGTATGCACCATCTTCAACGCTGAATGTTGCAGATACTTGTCCATTTAGTAGTCTATCATGCGCTCCTGCCATCGCGCCAGAGAGGATATGGTAAGCCTAAAATACTATTAGCAGCCCACAATGCTAAAAAGGTGCTTTAAGATAGTGAACCAGTGGATATCACTCAAGTAAACTATTTTACTCCTTACATACAACAGTCAGGAATCAGTATAGTTGTTGAAGCAGGAGTAAGATGATCATATAACACAAGAGTCGGGAATTCTAGGCTTATTGTTAAGAAAAAATGATACAAGTTAAGATTTTGTTTAACAATAGGTCTACGAAAAAAACTATGCATTTGGTGAGAATATAGCAACAGATTAAGAGCATATTGTTCAGCATCACACAGATAGTAGAACAATGCTACAGGAAGCTATTTGCATAAAGTAGAGAACTACAAAACAAGCTATTGACCATCCTACTGGTAGCAAGGACATAAAGATAACCACTCAATAAGATAAGAAGCAGACATGAATAAATCACATAACTATGTACAATTCAATGTCCCAGCTGAGAGTGAACATGTATTCAACATTTCTTGCAGTTCAATACATGCACGACAGATTCACAGCAAAACTATATATAGCTATACAAACATGCATGAACAGGAAAGCAACCAAACTACAAGAACACATAAGGAAACAGAGGGAATTACTATAACCTATGGAGTGACAAGCACATATATGAACTCAAAATAATGCCCAGCTAGACCAAAAGAAGCTGGATTAGTCGAAATCAGGCGATGGACCGACGGCGCTAATTTTGGGGGCGGGGAGGAGGCACGCTCGGCTCACCTAACAACCGCCTCTGTCGCCGCTGACGAGAGCCGTGCCGTCGAGTCCTGCAGCCACCAACTCGCGCCGCTCGCCGCCGCGGTCAACACCTTCGTCGTCGATGCGGCGGTGCTGCCAGACCTACAAAAAACAGAGGAGGCGTCTGGAATCAGGCGACGGAATCCAGCGAATGGACATCACACTTGCCAACTAATTAACTATAGCATGCTACAGAAACATTTCATTAACAAATTTTATTCAGGAACTAGCTTATTGACTATGACAAAAATGCTTAGAATAAAAATCATTTCAAGATCATGTTTGGTGCATACAGATCGTCCTTATGGCAGGTGATAATAAAGTTGACGATATCAAATAGAATGAACCACTAACGGTAATATGTTTGGTGCATAATCATGATATTGGTACAAAACACGTGTGATAGACTGAAAGAGAATGAACTTTATGGTCCTATAAGAATCTCACAATCTCAGCACGGAAATAACATGAAGGGTCACAACAGTAACATGATGACACACATTTGAGGTTACAATTTTTCCCTCACATCTCATAGCTAATATGACCATCATCAACGACCATAAACAGTGGTTTTAGCCCCAAGCCACCAGCTCACCAAAAACGGCAAGACAAGATGGCTTGGGGCTAAAACCAGTAATCGGCGGACGGGAACTTGCTACAAGAACACAAGCATACTACTAGTACAGTTGATATGCTACAAGAACACAAGCATACTACTAGTACCCAAAATCTGAAGAGGAAAAACTGGGCAGATACTGCTAACGCATTTGGGAGCAGATAATCTAGTGGACGGGAACTTGCGTTGTCGTTGTTGTTTGGTCCCGTCGTGGGGAAGCAATGTGGCGTGGTAGCGGAGGAACTAGCGCTGCAGTGAAGGCCCAAAACAAATCAATCACCGGATCAAGGGAGATGTTGCCGTGGAGGTTGTCGGAGACCTGCTTGATGGAGCAGCGGACGTGCGGTGGGCGAGAGGAGAGGAGACAGGTGGGCATCGTGTAGGCGGGCGAGAGGATGACCACCTTCCGCGTAGGTGCTGGGACACGGATCTCAGCTGCTCTGGTGTGTGTCGCAGCGGCTGTAGTGCGGTTGATGGAGAGGGTGAGAGGAGGAGGGCGGCGAGCTCCGCCGGAGGGAGGTGGCCGACGCGTGCAAGAAAGGAGCGATTGGATCTAGGGCGGGAGGGTAGGAGGGATTGGATCTAGGCGGCAGTGGCGGCTGGAGTGGGAGAGGATCTGAGTTAGGGTTCGCGTGGTTGGGCTTCGGGGAGGGGTCATGGGGGGATCGCGAGAGATGGCAATTTTTTCCTTGGCATTTTAGATGCAAAGGCAACAACCAATCACAAGCGAGGCCACGGATCCCTCCCCTAGAACAAATATTGACCATCCGCTCCTCCTACATCCAACGCTCCAAATCTCTCCCCAGATCCAACACTTCTCTCTCTCTCTCTCTCTCTCTCCCTCTCTCTCTTTCTTCTTTTTCTTTTTTCACAAATTTTTGCAACAAAAATGAGGTTTTCTTGAATAAACAACCATTTTTTTGCAAAATGGCATCACTATACTTTTCAAATCATCTCATATTGTGCATAAGGGTGCATCTTGAAATGATAAGCAATGTTACCGAAGAGAGTTTTTATTTTCTTTGCACAAAAAATCATTTTCTATTTTCGGAGTACCAAAAATCAGTTTTCTTTGTTTCAAAATTGTAAATATTGTGCACAAGGGTGCATCTTGGAATGGCAAACAATGATGCCTAATGAAGTTTTCATTGTTTTGGACAAAAAATCCTTTTTCGATTTTTTTAGTGCCCAAAATGAGTTTTTTGTGAAGGACCTACCATATATGTGTTGTAAAATTGGACCAAATCAATTTTCTAAAATATTAGGCCATGTTTAATGCACAGTTGACCAAATGGTTGGTTGTCGAAATTTTCGACCCACTTGTGGTGAAAAAGACAAACTTCCGCTAATCCAGCTGAAAGCGGGTCAAATTTGAACTGCAACTACCTTATAGTTTGCTCTTTATTTTTTTCAAAAATCATTTGTAGGTACTTAAGTATCTATTTAATTAGATAAACATAAAAAAATCAAGATTCAACCACTAGCTAGGAACGGCCATGCCCGCTATTTTGACTGCATTTTGAAACGGGCATAAAAAATTCAAAAAAATCAAAAAATTGGAAAACCTTCACATTGTATTATTATATGTGACCAAGTTACCAAAAAAAATAAACTTGTAACACGGTAATTATTTTTTTTAAAGTGTTCTCAGAAACGAGCTATCATGCGTGGAGATTCATAGCTTTCAAGCCAAATGATCAATCTTATGGCCACATTCATGGCATAGTTTGTTCAAATGATCTCATATTGTGCACAAGGGTGCATCTTGGAATTCCAAACAATGTAGCCTAAGGGAGTTTTCATTTTCTTTGCATGGAAAATTCATTTTCCATTTTCCGAGTGCCCGAAATGAGATTTTTTGCGAAGGACCTACCATATATTTGTTGCAAAATTGGACCAAATCAATTTTATAAAATAATAGGACATATATAATTCACAATTGACAAAATGGTTGGGTGTCAAAAGCCTTGATCCACCTCTCATGAAAAAGACAAATTTCTGCCGATTTAGAAGGAAGCGGGTCAAATTTGAACTGCAGTTGCCTCATAGTTTGCTCTTTATTTTTTCCAAAAATAATTTCTAGGTACATAGGTATCTATTTAATCAGAGAAACATCAAAAGGTTTCCAAGATTCAACCACTAGCTAGGAACGGTCAAGCCTGTTGTTTTGACCGCATTTTGAAACGGGCATAGAAAATTCGAGAAAAAATCAAAAAATTGGAAAACCTTCGCATTGTGTCATTATATGTCACCAAGTTTTCAGGAAAAATAATAAACTTGTAATACGACAATTATTTTAAAAAGGTGTTCTCATAAATGAGCTATCATGCGTGAAGATTCAGGGTTTTCAAGCCAAATGATCAATCTTATGGCCACATCCATGGCATAGTTTGTTCAAATGATCTCATATTGTGCACAAGGGTGCATCTTGGAATTCCAAACAATGTTGCCTAAGGGAGTTTTCATTTTCTTTGCACGGAAAAATCATTTTCCATTTTTTGAATGCCCGAAATGAGTTTTTTGTGAAGGGGCTACCATATATTTGTTGCAAAATTGGACCAAATCATTTTTATAAAATATTAGGCCATATTTAATGCATAATTTACAAAATGGTTGGGTGTCAAAAGTTTTGATCCACCACTTGTGAAAAAGACAAATTTCTGCCGATTTAGTAGGAAGCGGGTCAAATTTTAACTGCATCTACCTTATAGTTTGCCCTTTATTTTTTACAAAAATCATTTATAGGTATATAAGTATCTATTTAATCAGAAATACATGGTTTCGTGGCAATACATCGAGGTTTAGATGGTGGACGAGGGCCCCAACTCCAGAGCGCGTAAACTCGCATGCCCGCCGCGTGGTCACCGCGTGACCGTGGCGTTGCCATGTGTTCTGGGCGGCCTAGGCATGTCTAGGGGGTTGGGTACTCCCTAGGCAAGTGCTAGGAAGAAAATTACAACATAAGATTCTCGCGAGGAGACCGAACTATTCTCAAACATGAATTAGCAGCCAAGTGTTTGATTAGCGATACGTGAAATGCATGTGGCCACTGGGCGTGAGTTTTGGCTGAGGATGATAATCTACTAAGAAGACTGTCTTCACATTGTTTTAGCTCAAAAGGAGGAGTCTAGGTGGTACTTGCTTTGCAAAGTACCATAGTGGATAGAAATATGAATGTTGAAGTTGGGCTCAAAATAATGAATGGATTGAGCTGAAATTTGGTGGAGGATGGTTATTTGGGCATAGGAAAGCACTGTAGAAAATTCATGCCATTTGGACATGCCAAAGTGGTACTTCTTTCACAATGCTATTCCCTGGACAGAAACTTGGGAAAATTAGCGAGAGCAATTGAATAAATGAAATGAGCTCATATTTGGTGTAGGTAAGTTACATAGGTATGGTCATGCCCTGGTAAATTTTCAGATCATTTGGGTAAGCCTAGCTAGTACTTACTTCACAAAGCTTCTCTCGAGATAGAAACTTTGGAAATTTCCTGAGAACGATTTACCAGGAAAATGGAGCTGAATATTATCATGTGGCAATGATTTGGGTATGGAAGAGTGCCCAAAAAGTTTGAGGGTAATCGGAGGGATCTGGATAACACTTGCTTTGCAATGTGCCAATCTGGCCATAAAATATAAATTGAACCTGGGCTCACATAGATGATTTGACTGAGCTGCAATTTGGAGGAGGGTGATAATTTGGGCATATGAAGGAACTGTATAAATTTCATGTCATTTGGATATATAAAAATGGTACTTCATTCACAGTGCTTCTAGGTGGAAAAAAACTTTGGAAATTTGCCGAGGAAGATTTACTGGGAAAAGGGAGCTGAATTTTGTCACGAGGCAATGATTTAGATAGGAAAGAGTGCCCAAAAATTTTGAGGGCAATCAAGAATATATAAATAACACTTCCTCCACAAAGTATTATTGTGAACAGAATAGGAAAATGAATATTGTTGAATTATTTTTGAACTAGGCAAGGAAGTATTTTTACATATTTGACAAAGATATGACCCAAAGAATTTATGAGATTTTTTGTGGAATTTTGGGAATGACAAAAATATAGATTGCATCACAACCTAGGGCAAAGATTGACACATGGAGATGACACATAGGCAAAACTGACGAGGTGGCGCCTTGTCATAGCAATCCACCACAATTTACAAGGTTATGACCATCTATATTGGTCGTGATCAGTAGAAATAAGGCAGCAGACCAGTGTTGTCTGCTTTATGACCATTTCGCGTAAGGAAATTGCGGCCTTCCTGACCAAAATGGTCGATATAGTTGAGGGTTTGGAGCCCCCCGAACAACTTTTGACCAATTGATCTAAAATGGTCGTAGATCTATGACCAATTCTTCCAGGGTCACTGACAGAAGGTCACTAGTTGACATATTTCTTGTAGTGCATCTCAACGGATTTAGACAGTGCCCTATTTAACATGAATGCAACTGTCTCTAATGCATAACTGCAAAACGATAGTGGTAATTCGGTAACAGACATGATAGATCGCACCATATCTAATAAAGTACGATTATGACATTCGGACATACCATTATGCTGTGGTGTTCCAGGTGGCGTGAGTTGTGAAACTATTCCACATTTTTAAATGAAGGCCAAACTCATAACTCAAATATTCGCCTCCGCGATCAGATCGTAGAAACTTTATCTTCTTGTTACGATGATTCTCCTCTTCACTTTGAAAATATTTGAACTTTTCAAATGTTTCAGACTTGTGTTTCATCAAGTAGATATACCCATATCTGCTCAAATCATCTGTGAAGGTTAGAAAATAATGATACCCGCCACGAGCCTCAACACTCTTTGGACCACATACATTGGTATGTATTATTTCCAATAAGTCAGTGGCTCATTCCATTGTTCGGGAGAACGGAGTTTTAGTCATCTTGCCCATGAGGCATGGTTTGCAAGTATCAAATGATTCATAATCAAGTGATTCCAAAAGTCCATCCGCATGGAGTTTCCTCATGTGTTTTACACAAATATGACCTAAACGGCAGTGCCACAATTATGTTGCACTATCATTATCAACTTTGTATCTTTTGGCATCAATATTATGAATATGTGTATCACTACGATCGAGATTCAATAAACCATTTATATTGAGTGTATGGCCATAGAAGGTTTTATTCATGTAAACAAAATAACAATTATTCTTTGACTTAAATGAATAACCGTATTGCAATAAACATGATCCAATCATATTCATGATCAACGCAAATACCAAATAACATTTATTTAGGTCCAACACTAATCCTAAAGGTAGAGGGAGTGTGCGATGGTGATCTTATCAATCTTGGAATCACTTCCGACACACATCGTCACTTCGCCCTCAACTAGTCTCTGTTC